GCCCCCAGGGGACGTACGTCCTCCAACACATGGAAGCCCATAGGGGACGTACGTCCTTCGGCACAGGCAGCCTTCGGCTCATACATAGCCTTCGGCACATGCAGCCCCCGGGTGCTTGTAGTTGTGGGTATGATACTATGACAGTGGCAGACCCACTAAGGGTCCCACGGGGTCCCGGGACCCCATGGACCTACAAAAAATACCTATATATATTTGTATATATTTTACATAAAATTAAGTAATCAGTGTATTTATACAATTGAAACTAGTTTAGAACACAAATATGGAGTTAGAGCAACGGTTGGATACCCAATCTTGAGGCTCTATATGTGCGGGAGGTTGAGGGATTGATTCCTTTGGGAGTCTACTTTTTTGAAAATAAAATTATGGAACAACTTGGGGCACCTATTGTTATCATGCACCTCTATAGCCCAACTTTTAATCTAAATCTAATTTTCTCAACCTATACCCAATTTTTTTCATATCAAATGTAGGCTTTTTAAATTTGATTTCTCATATGCATGCCAATTATTTTTAGTTGATAGACGACATTAACTTTATAAAATTTTAGTGTCCGTTTTGTGACTCTGTTTTCGGCTTATCAACCAATTTTTTAACCAAACATGTAACTTTTGATTTTACGCGCTGAATTATGTAATAATAAGAAAAATAAGATTGGAGATACTTTTCAGGCTGTATTGACTGCAGTTGTTGTAGATGACCATTTTATCTATTTTTCATATCATTTCTTCTTTATTTTATTAATATAATATATTTTAAATATAATTTTTCATAATCAGCAGAAACAGTCAATACAACCACTTCAGTCACAACTTCATAAATTTCAGCAGAATCAGCCGATTCAGCCGATTTCAGTATTACCAAACGGGCTCTAGTTGATAGTAGACATTTCTTTAAAATTGTTGTATACGTTATGTTAACTATGATATGTTATGCTATTTTACTATTTTACTTCTTCTTTTTATTAATTTTTTAATAATTAGTTACATTACAATAGGGACCCCGTGATTCTGAGTTTCTGGGTCCGTCACTGTACTATGATCAATTTATAAACTTCCTATATAGATTTGTTCATACAAATCTGGAATTATCTTAGCCACATTGATATGATGCGTACAAAATGTGTGCCCAAAGCAAGTTCAAATATCAATTTCCGTTCTTGTATCCTATATAAAGTGATTTTCGTGAACATAAATTTACATGTAAATAAAGGTTTTAGTCATTGTGGGGCGAGTCTCGATTGGATTTGGTCCTCCTACATAACTTTAAAGCCATTTTCCAGATCGATATACCATTCATTATATGTTTCTTCACACTCAATTATGCGAACATTTATTTAGTCAGTTATGTTCATAATCGATAAATATAGAATACACTATCAAAATTAAAATACACACATGACTACTTTTAAATTAAAAGCACATCCAACCAAAATTTGCAAGGACAAAATTTGAGTATAATATTTTTATATAATACGGATTACGGAGTAGTTAAAATTAAGCCTACCAGAAACTTCGTACTCACCCAAAAGCAGAATTCCAACCACATCAGCCTATGCAAGTAAGCAACCTCTTTGATAACATAATTGTTTCCTTCTGAATGCCCCATCCTAACCCCCAACTTTACTCTTTCAAGCCAAATAAGAGTTGTTTACTTTCTACTTAATTGATAACATGACGTGTTCATTCAGTTAAGAAATTAAGAGCCCGTTTGGTAGCACGAAAATCGGCTGATTTGGCTGATTCTGCTGAAATTTATGAAGTTCTGGCTGGAGTGGCTGCATTGGCTGATTCTGCTGATCTAAGGAAAAAATATTTTTAAAATATATTTTATTAATAAAATAAAGAAAAAATTATGTGTAAAAATAGCTAAAATGGTTATCTACAATAGCTTCAGCCAATACAGCCAGAAAAGTAACTCCAACCTTACTTTTTCTGCTTATTACATAATTTAGCGTGCGAAAATAAAAGTTACGTGTTTAGTGAAAGTTGGCTGATAAGCCTGATAAGCCGAAAAACGATATCGCCAAACGGCCTCTAACTTAATCATTAAAGGGGTTAAAAACGTAAAAGTTATGGTTGAAAATTGAGTACAATAAAATGAAATGTTATGAATCACATATTTGTTTCTAAAAAGAAAATATGAAACTTATTTAGAGACAATTCAATATAACTATCTTGTCAATATCTTTTCATGTTTAGGCTTTAATTTACATGTTCATTTCTACATATTCAAATCCATATCATTTTCTTAATTTTTACACTTTTCATTATTTTGTGACTCTGACTTATTATAATTATTTTTATAATTATTTGGATATAAATTTTATGTATACCCGTGTAATGGCAACTTTACACAAGTAGACAATGCACACGAACTAATTAGGTTAACGCGAGGCTGGACGGTAGGACTGGGTCAGAAACACCGAAAACCGAAAACCGAATCAAATTAAAGCGAACCGCGACCAAATAAAACCGAACCAATAAAAACCGAAACTGAATGTAAAAAACCGAACCGAACCGTAGTAGTTTGGTTCGGTTTTAGTTTTTACCCTTCAAAACCGAACCGAACAAATCGAACATAAATAAAATATAAAATTTTATTTGTTAAATGCAAGCATTAATCTTAATATCATCAATAATCTTTGAATTTCTTGTGCTAGAGAAATAATGTTTATGTTATGTTTAGTTTAGTTTATAAATGCATTTACACATTCATTGCCCATAATAATGTAGCTATTTTGATCTATTGTCTTTTATGTATGTATGTTGCAATTTGTTGCATGATTATATATTTTTACTAGTTATTAGTAGTAATTAACTTTTATTTTTATGTAACTTAACTTTTTTATATTGATAAAACAAATAAATATTCATCTCGGCTAAATCACACAGGACGTATGTATTCATAAACGTTTTTCAAACTAGTCACAAACATTGTAAATTAAGAATAGATACACACTTTTATCTCTCCCGCATACTCATATAATTCAAGACATATTTGTTTATTATTATTTTCTTCATTTGTTCAAGTATGCTTGCATTTTTATGTAATATGTTTGATCCCTCCAACTTTTATATCATTTTTAAATTAAATGACAAATATTTAGTAAAAAACCGAAAAAATCGAAACCGAACCGAAACAAACCGAACCAATCAAACCGTGATTTGAAGTTTTGGAGTGTAAAACCGAACAGAAACCGAATCGAACTTTTACTTTGGTTCCGTATTTGGTTTTAGATCAAAACCGAACCGAAAGAACCGAACACATCCCTATTGGACGGGGTAGATCCACCCTGCATGCAGTGGCAGACCCACTAAGGGTCCCACGGGGTCCCGAGACCCCATGGACCTACAAAAAATACCTATATATATTTGTATATATTTTACATAAAATTAAGTAATCAGTGTATTTATACAATTGAAACTAGTTTAGAACACAAATATGGAGTTAGAGCAACGGTTGGATACCCAATCTTGAGGCTCTATATGTGCGGGAGGTTGAGGGATTGATTCCTTTGGGAGTCTACTTTTTTGAAAATAAAATTATGGAACAACTTGGGGCACCTATTGTTATCATGCACCTCTATAGCCCAACTTTTAATCTAAATCTAATTTTCTCAATCTATACCCAATTTTTTTCATATCAAATGTAGGCTTTTTAAATTTGATTTCTCATATGCATGCCAATTATTTTTAGTTGATAGACGACATTAACTTTATAAAATTTTAGTGTCCGTTTTGTGACTCTGTTTTCGGCTTATCAACCAACTTTTTAACCAAACATGTAACTTTTGATTTTACGCGCTGAATTATGTAATAATAAGAAAAATAAGATTGGAGATACTTTTCAGGCTGTATTGACTGCAGTTGTTGTAGATGACCATTTTATCTATTTTTCATATCATTTCTTCTTTATTTTATTAATATAATATATTTTAAATATAATTTTTCATAATCAGCAGAAACAGTCAATACAACCACTTCAGTCACAACTTCATAAATTTCAGCAGAATCAGCCGATTCAGTCGATTTCAGTATTACCAAACGGGCTCTAGTTGATAGTAGACATTTCTTTAAAATTGTTGTATACGTTATGTTAACTATGATATGTTATGCTATTTTACTATTTTACTTCTTCTTTTTATTAATTTTTTAATAATTAGTTACATTACAATAGGGACCCCGTGATTCTGAGTTTCTGGATCCGCCACTGCCTGCATGGGATGGATGGGGAGTGTCCACTTAGTAAACTCATGCGGTGTGTTTGAGTTTTGCACTAGTCGTTCAGTCCCAACGCATTGTCATACTCAAACTGGATTGTGTATTACTTATAGCAAGTAATACGGAGTATTGAAATTACTTTTTCACTATGGACAAAATTATCATAGATTATCATTGAGTAAATTCTCTAAATAGGAATAAAAAAGTTTCAAAATTCCAAAATAGGAATATCATGTTTTTATTCCTTAAATAGGAGTAAAATGTTGCCAAGTTTGTCATTACTAGGCTTTTAAACATGACATTTTTTTCCAAACTTGGTAGATTACTCTTATTCAAGGAATAAAAAACATGATACTCCTATTTTGAAATTTCATTTTTTACTCCTATTTAGAGCAATTTCTAATTATCATTTTCCTTATTCTTAATACTTCATACGTAGTACTCACTCCGTTCCAATCTGATAGTCTCATTTCTTTTGGGCACAAGTTTTAATAAAGTGATTGAAAAGATCAAAGTTGTGGTTGATATTTAAGTATAATAAAGTGAAATGATATGGACCACATCTTTTTTTCCAAAAAGGGAAATACGACCATCATTTTGGGACATCTAAAAAAGGAAATACAGGACTATCATTTTGGGACAGAGGAAGTATATTTTTTCCTTTTATTTTTTTAATAAAATATTTTTTATATTTGAGTATATAATTTTCACAATTCAGTAAATTTTATAAATCCAACCGCGTAAACTAGAACTTCAATTCATCAATTAAATTCAACCGCACAAACTAGAACTATATCAATTTCAATAAAATTAATTAATTTCAACTCTCAAGTACGACCTAGATTACCCAAAAAAAAGTACGACCTAGTTCGGAAGTGGTGGTTCGTGAACCCAACCGAACGTCCGGACCAACACCTAATTAGAAATGAACAAAATAAAGATCAATGGACAGAAAGAAAAAGGCAAAGTATGTCTATCCACCCAAATACTTTCCTCATTACTACGTATTTTTTCCCAAATATTTTTCCCCTTCTTTCCAAAGGCTTCGATTTCTCCACCTTACCCATCCACTCCAATTTAATATTCACACTCAAAGCCTCCTCCAAAGCTTCTTCACTTACTCCAATGGCAGATTCATCTTCAGATGTTCCCCCAAAACAAAGAACTAACAATCCAAGTAAGTACTGCTTCTTCTACAAGCACTTGATGTTGAAACCTCTGGTTGTATCAGTTTTCCTTGTTTTTCTCCTTCTGTTTCCTTCACAAGCTCCAGAGTTCCTCACCCAAACTCTGAGCACCAAAATCTGGGAAGTCCTCCAGCTCATCCTCGTAGGCATTGCTGTCTCTTACGGCCTATTCAGCCGGAAAACTGATGGAACAATCAAAGAAAATGATGGGTCAACAACAAGAACAACCAACTTTGACAATGCCAATTCCTATGTCTCTGGATTGCTTCAGGTTTCATCTGTATTTGATAATGATGATGAATCCGAGGGCCCTTGTGTCTTTTTTGATGAAAAAATTGACAGCAGCAATAATGTTATTTATCAGTCCTGGAGAAATCAATACTATATGGAAAAACCCAGGGTAGTAGTGGCACCTGAAGAACAAAGAGATGATTTTAGTGTTGATCATTATAAAAATTCAAGAATTGGTGAAAAGCCCCTTCTTTTGCCTGTTAGGAGCTTGAAATCATCAAGAATTGAAGAAGCAGAGGAAGAAGAAGAAGAGCCCATGGAGGAAACAAATTGGAGATCAAGATCTGCAGGAAGAAGAACAATGGAGGACCCAGAAATTATTAAGCAAGACCCGACTCCCGTAAGATCTGTTAGGACACAATCATTTAAAAGATCACCCTCTCCTTCACCAGACAAGCACAGATCTTCCTCTCCGGCCGCCGGATCTCCGCCGCCATCAGTGAGGATGACGCTTCCTGATGGGGAGGAGATAGGAAGAAAGCATAATAAGACAAACTCGCCTCCCCTTCCGCGTTCCATTGGAAAGTCTTCATCCATGAAATTGAGCTCAACAGAGCAGAAAAGCGAGGAACCTCGAAGAAGATCATATTCAGGGAGAGAGATGGCAGGGGGGGACGGAAGAAGAAGAAGAAGAAGAAGAAACCAAGAAAATTTTGTGAAAAAAGAAGATGAAGAAGAAGAGTTTTCAGGAAGAGAGGAGTCAGAAGAGGATGAGAATGGGGGAGTTGGAGAGAATAGTAACAGTGGGGATGTTGATAAGAAAGCTGATGAGTTTATAGCCAAATTTAGAGAGCAGATTAGGCTGCAGAGGGTTGATTCTTTTAGGCGATCTGCTCCGGCCGGCCACGGCTCGCCGTGAAATGGACGGGGAGTGTGAGTTCATCGTTTCAATGACTTTTTGGTTTCGATTTTTGTTTTTTTTAATTCCATTATTGATGCATTTAATTGCTATGTTTCCAGATTTTATGGATTTCTACTTACAGACTTTTTTTTTAACATTTAGTGATGGTAAATACTCGTATAGAATATGAAAGAATGCAACTTTTTATGGCATATGTACCGGTTTCATCACTTTCATGGTGGCCATGGCAGCCAGCACCGCACACCACCGTCGTGATGGTAGCTGTACTTGGATATGTCAGCCGTTTCGAACCGTGTACAAGAGTCGAACCGTGTTGGCATTTTTTTGAACCAAATTTGCGGAAATCAATGCTGGAACTGTACAATTCCAGACCAATTATGGTTCGATTTTCCAATTTTTATTTTATACGGAGTACGTAGTATTTAGAACGTGTGTTTGATAACACTCGATTGTTCCAATAAAAGTGGAATCTCTCAACCTAGAAGCTCCACCCCGATCCGATAGGATGGTGGGGAGGTTAGTCACGGTGACTCAGTCAGCAGAATGGCAGTAGGTCCATACACCCGTACGCACCAGAGACCCAGCCTTATTTCAGGTTCTGTGACCTCCATCCGGTCGTTGCGGGGATTCGAACATTGGTTCATTGTTCTAAATCTTCCACCACTTGACCAACTGAGCTACCCGTGCGGGTCGTTTGATAACACTCAAATTATTACTCCCCGGTCCTAAATAAACTTCACACTTTGACTTCACACAAATTAAAAAAATAAATTTAACTTTACTGTAGAGTACATTGCTATGACACCGTTTAGCATTATTTGACACTGTTTTGATGTAGATAATTTGTCAAATAAGGAAGAGATAAGAAGTGTGAAGTTTATTTTGGACCTACCCAAAATGGAAAGTGTGAAATGAAGTTTATTTAGAACCGGAGGAAGTATTTTTTTATCATAAAAAAGCGATCGTTATATTAAAATCGAGAACACAAATAAGACAATTTTCAGACAGAATTTACAGATCCAATCGTGAATCCTAGGAGTATACTTAGAGTCAGTCACCTCATACAAAGTAACATGACTCGCTAAACCTGTAACGGACAAATTTAGGCCTAAAACGATCAGAACCGAAACCCTGCATATCAAAAGAACTCCAAAAATCAAAACATTCAAACCAAATCTACTCATACAAAAATAGAAACAATGGTTAATAAAGAGAAAATAATATTAAAATAAAATCTTTCTACAAAGTTCTTCCTGGTATGAAGGTGGTTCCGGAGGAAGACGAGCTCTTGCAATATGGGTGAATACCAACTTCACTACCATTCGAATGTCCGACCAAGGCTTTACGATCCAGCCTCGATACAACCTCTCAGCTGCACCTCGTTCATCCGTCAACACTGTCTCCTTCGATGTAGTTGCAATCTCAAGTGTTAGAACACTTAAAATATGTATAATTTGACGTTCTAACCCCATATTGATAGGGGTGCCGGAAAATCTCAAACTCTACAAAGAGGGAAGACGGTCGCTAGGGTTTCTCTCTAGAGAGAAGAAGAGGCGTAGTAACACTCAAACTATTTAAAAATTTGTTTGGTAAAACTAAAATCTGACTGAGAAAATAAATATCGTTTATGTGTATTGCAAACATAATTTCTAATTGTAACAATCTTCCTGGTCAAGCAAATGCAAATGCACAATACATTCTTCATGATCAAGTAAAAGCGATTGTTCTTCAATGGAAAAACCCACATAAGTAGTGATCACACATAACTTTAGTAATCCTCTGACTACTTTTCTCATATACTAGACTTGCAAAATACGGAGTATCACTCAAATAATTGTCATTTTATAGAGATTTTATATTTCCATCGATACATTTTACATAAGCTTAAATGCTTAATACTATCGTATCAATTAGTAAAACATACAAAAACAAGTTTTTGGGTTGTAAAACTCACATCCAAAATTTGAGTATTTAAAAAATTAATAGAGAAGGATGAGAATATATATCGCTTGAAGCCTGCTATCATTAGAGGTTTCTGAGGTGAAGGTGAATCGCGTTGGAAACATGAAAGAAAAGCAATGTTCACGACCCTCTTGAAATGAAGGGTAGCACTAGAAAAGTACTCCCTTAGTCCCGAATTAATTGTCTTGTTTGCTTTTGCACAAGTTTTAAGAAAGTGATTGAAAAGGTAAAAGTTGTGATTGAGATTTGAGTAAAAAAGGTGAATTGATATGAGCCACCCATTATTGTCAAAAGAGGAAACAAACAATTATTTTGGAACGGACCGAAAAGGAAAGCATGACATTTATTTCGGGACGGAGGAAGTAAGTGAGAAGAAAGTGTACAATCATACAAGTACACCAGAAGTCAAATCGTCAAACTATTGGGTCAAACTATTAAGTTTTGGGCCGATTAACCCATCCACCGACTTGGGTGATTGTACCGACTAGGCGGCCTAATCACTCGATAAGTCGTTGGTCTCATTAACAAGCCAAAAATTGTAATTTTCGCCACAGGATAGCGATTGGTGACTATGTAGCACTTAGGTGGGTTCTTATACCATACAGCCGGTTGTACGGCTTGCACTTTACAGCCGGTTGTACGGCTTGCACCTTACAGCCGACTGTACGGCTTGCACCTTACAGCCGGGGGTAATTTTGTAATTTTGATGAAAATCACGATTTGTCTGGAATGAGCATTAATGCATTTTTGGTGAGCATCATGCCTATTCTTTTGAGTAATAGGAGCCTAAAAATGAGTATCATGAAATCTGCTTCAAATCTTCTAATGTAATTTTTTTATTTGTTTAAAGAAGATTTCTGAAAGTATGTCTATAATCGATTTCAATTAAAAACAATATGCGAATTTGATGTAGTATAATAATTTTAAAATATGCATTATTGATATGTCATTTTCAAATGAGCATACCATTAATACCAAATGAGCACTGATATGAAAATCATAATTTTTTTTAGTTGAGCATCAAGACATTTTCTTTGAGCTTTAAAACTCTTCTATTGAGTATTATAAGCACACAATTGAGTATCATTATCTTTCCTCATAGTATCAATTATCAAATGAGCATACATAAGCTACAAAATGAGCATTTATGTATTGACAGATAGAACACCAACGTAGTCTAGAAAAATCCAAAACTGTATATCTCGTTACAACTTTCGCAAAAATCAAAGGCAAACTATATTATTCCTAGCAAATAAAACATAAAACAATATAATTGAACTGTCCTCAGAAAATTGCGTGAGATCATGATACCATTATAAATGAACATAAAACGCATTTCTAATGTGAATCTAATTTAGTATGATATGTTTGAAGTGTGCAACCTTTTAAAGTGAGTATAAAACAATACAAAATGAGCATGCATAACTTACAAAATGAGTATCAAAAAATTTAGAAATGCATTTTTGTGTGCTCATTTATTTTGGATGGTATACTCATTTGAATTTAACATAAAACTCATTTCTATTGTGCTCAATATGTGCTCAATATTCATTTGTGTATTGATATGACATTTTAAAATGAGCATAAAACAAATATTAAATGAGCATACGTAACTTACAAAATGAGATATAGAAAAACAAAACATTAATATCTAAAATATTTTATAATTGAATACAGATTAAAATAAAAAAATTAGGAAAAAGAAAGAACTAAAGAAGGAAAAACGTAAAAGCAAGAAAAGAAGAACAGAAAAGACAAAAGAGAAAAACGTTTAATAGATTAGCAACACCAAATCGGAAAAGGAAGGAAACAGAAAAGCAAAAAAAGTAAAACGGAAAAGGTGAAACCAATGAGCGCAGCTCAGATGCGGACTCGGCGATGGCCTGGATGAAGGAATCGGGGCAGCACAGATGAAGACGATGGATCGGGAGAAGTTGATAATAATTTTTAAAAAAAACTGGTTGTACGGTGAGGACCGTACAACCGGGTGTACGGTATATTTTGCCCACTTAGGTGCCTACTTGGGGCAAATTTTAGATCATTTATTTTGTGTTGGATTATCCTCAACAAATAGTATTCTTGTTGCTGCAAACGATACGCTCGCAAGTAGGGCGGTACATAAGGCGGTTTGGGCTGGTTTACTATATATTTTTTATAGAAATTGCCCTAAATAGGTGTAAAAACACTTTGAAATTCCAAAATAGAAGTATCATGTTTTTTATTCCTTGAATAGGAGTAATCTGCTAAGTTTGGGAAAAAATGTCATGTTTAAAAGCCTAGTAATGTCAAACTTGGTAGAAATTTACTCATATATAGGGAATAAAAAGGGGAGAATTCCCTAAATAAGAGTAAAAAAGTTTTGAAATTCCAAAAAAGGAGTAACAAGTTTTTTATTCCTTGAATAAGAGTAACTTTCTGCCAAGTTTGGCATTAATAGGCTTTAAAACATGACATTTTTTCCAAACTTGGCAGATTACTCCTATTTAGGGAATAAAAAACATAATACTCCTATTTTGGAATTTCAAAACGTTTTCGCTCCTATTTAGAGCAATTTCTAAATAAAAAAATATGATACTCCTATTTTAGAATTTCAAAACTTTTTTACTCCTATTTAGGGAATGTAGTCTATTTTTTAGTCTACCCGCTTGGCTTGGGTTAGCTGCTAAATAACCCGCTTGTATGCAATTTAAATGATAACCCTCATATGAATGGATGAGGTAGGGTCAGGTATAGAAAAATAAACCAATTCGGTGTAGGTCTTTAGAGCATCTTTAATAGGAACATTGATTGCTTAAAATTACATTGCCATCAGATAAATAGCTATTGAAGTTAAATCACATGCTCCAACGGCAATGTGAATATGAAGCCGCTTGATGAGTTGGATTGTAATATAGCGCACAGTGTGTATTGCTCCTTCGACTTTCAGAAGGCCTCATTGACAAGCTGACTCGTCAATTTAATTAATTAACTAACGTTGAGTGCATTAATTAACCATGGATGATGCGTTTGATCATTCGATTTAACAACAGTCCATTAAACATAAATTAAACCCCAATAATTGCCTAAAAATCCACCACCCCATTGGAGCCTAAAAATTATTTTGATAGTGTATGAGTCCACATCAGCTTTAAGGGCCGTCCATATATGTGACATGTCCATTTTTTATGTGGTACAATCCATATTCCCATTAAATATGTTCTTAATATGACCACTAGGGATGGATTTAGGG